AACGCATTTATCGCGGATTTATCTAACTGCGAATTTATGAAAAACCGAGCAATTTCGAAGCTCGCGCGAGAAGAAAATGGAAACGAGGCGGCCGCTCGTTCGAATTAACGAATCCAACGAATGAAATTTCGAACCATCCACCGTTGATTATTTATCGTGGATTTTCCATTTATCCATACTATACTACAGAGGGAGGAAAAAGTTAGGCAATTTCGCCACGGATTACGGAGTATCGTCGGAGTTAATTTCTCTCTAATTTATATTAATGCTCGCCGAGTGAACGACCGGTTATTAAAATTCCTTTGTATTTGCAATTTAGATCGATGGCGGAGAGAAGCGGGCGGAAGTAATTTGCGCGAGCATTTTATGGACAAATTAGTCCCGTTTATCGGCCATTTACGCGCGTTTAAAATTGATAAGCCTGTTCGAGGGATTGGTTAGATAGGTCACAACGAGGCTAATTTCTGATTAACGTTTCAACTTCGGTGATAAATTAACCGTGTTTTTCGCCATATACATATATATATATATTTTCGAGACAATTGGTGGATTAAACGTTTTCGATCGAGAAGGAAATGTCGCTTAAAATATCGGACGTGATAATAATTAAAAAGAAAAAAAGAAGAAAAGAAATCGATGAAACTAGATTGGAATCGAAATGAAAATCGACCAACTCGAGACTCTGTTTATTCAAGAGATTAATGAGATGTAATCCGCGTGATCGTGTCCGAGTGAAAAAGAAGAAGAAGAAGAAGAAGAAAAGAAAAGAAGAGAGAGAGAGGGAGAAGAGAGGCGTGCAACAGCTTGTTAACGTATTAGCTTTTTCAACACGCTAATCCATCTTTTCGCGCGTTCATTTTCTACCTCGTTACAAACTTTTATTTAACGAGCGAGCGGTGTTGTTACAACGCTTCCCGTCTTGTCCGCCGCTTTCATCGCGGCAAACGCTTTGTACGCCACGCTTTTCACCCTCTCTCTCTTCCTTCTTTCTTGAAAAGAAATAATCGACCGACAACAATCGATCCACGCCATCTTCTTTACTTTACCACTTCCGCCCGATTTTTTTTTCGATTTTTCTTCTCTCGTTTCTTCTAGCCCGATTTCTTAGCTTGGAAACGAACACGTCGATTGCTCGCGTTATTTAAATCTGATTTTAAACGAAGGGGACGGGGTTATAAAGCGGGGACAAACGGAGTTGGAAGAGAAGTTGGAGGATTTCGGCAAGAAATTGAATCTCGCAAGTTTTCCTTTCCCAGATTTCTCGATTCTCTTTCGAGTTTATCTTTACGTTTCGACCGTATTTTTCATTGTGTGAAAATAACGGCCTGGGCGGAGAAAGAAGGGCAAATTGTTCTTTCGCCCTTGGTGGATGGAAGTAGATGGAAATTTATGCCCTCGAGAATCGTGGCGTGTTGGCGTGCGGACCCTTTACGATTCTTTAAAACAGAGTTAAAATAGAGTTCACCGTTCTCGAAATCCCTCGTCCCTCCCCTCCCTGTTCCCTTCCCGCTCTGGAAAAGCGTGCATCCCCTTTGATGCCCGTGTCAAGGACTCGATTAACCACGTATTCTCGAGTGAAAACTGGGTCAGTTTGCGGAGGAGATTTATATTTACCCTCGGAATCAATATCTCGCGGATGCTCTATTAATCCTCCACGCTTAATCTCGCCAATCCAAAAAATCCTTCAAATTGAACGAGCAAATTGTCTGTCTATTCTCGCAACGATCGTCGCGAAAGAAAAGTCTTTTCCTGAGAAAAAAAAAATTCTTCTTCTCTGTCTGCTACCTCTCTAAAGGTAAGCATCGAGGTAATAAGAAGAAAGAGGGGGGGAAAAAATAAATTCCAAGCTTCTCCCGAAAGTGGACGAAAGTTTCTCGTTTCTTAATTTCTTTAAACGTCCCCCCTTCCGTCTCGTATCTCATCCCCGTTTTATCGCCCGTTTATCACCTCCACCATGAAAATATCCTTCCTCCTCGATTCCTTTTTCCTCTCATTTTCCTCCATTCTTTCTCACTCACCTTCCTCCCTCCCTTTGAACAGAATCTTCCTCTCTCGAAACTCGCTCAACGAACACCTCGATCGATCGCCATAATAAAATTCGTATTTATATTTAAGAAGATTATCAATCGAGTAACAAGAATCCCTAGAATGTAATTATATTATATGCGTAGTAATGAAATGTAGGATGGCGATTATATGGCGATATACGAGTGCAAAGGGTTAAATTTTAAGCTTCGAGGTTAATCGAGGGATCGATGAATTGGATTATTTTGAAAGAATCGTGCAAATAGGGAAGCGAATTTAACCATAGGCGAATGGTTACCTTCGTTCCACCGATCTTCGTGAACATTTTGAACATTGAAATTTTCAAATCTTTTTGAAAATAAGGGATCGATAAATTGGATTGTTTTGAAAAATCTTGGATATCTCGAACGATAGCTCTCCCGTTGTTCGAATCGTGCAAATAACATTTAACTGAAATTAAACATCGAATTAATCCTTTGCACTCGTATTTATATTTAAGAAGGTTACCGATCGAGTAACAAGAGTCCCTTAGAATGTAATTACAATTATATGTGTATTTGCATTAGTTAAATGTAGGAATTTTTTTATTTATTCGAAGTTATTTCGCGACTACAACGAAATCTCTCATCCCTCCTTTTTCGAGAAAATTTTCATTCGCGCGAAACTGCTGCTTCTTCCCGTTCTTCATTGTTGTAATTTCGGATATACGATTAACCAAACTCCAAGGATTAGTCTAATTTTTCATTAATTGTCATTAGTCTAATAAAAATAATAACGCTAGATTGTTAATTAGATTTAGAGATGATTTTAAATTCATTATATATATATAAATATATAATTTAATAAAATTAATAAAATTTTAAATAAGATTCGTGATCGAATTAAGGAACAAGAAATTCTTGGTAAAACAATAATAGGAAGAATTATGAATAATCAATTTCATTTTTTTAATGATTTTGAAGTTCTTTTTAAATTTTAAATTAAACTTAATTAAGAATGAATTTATTCATATGATAAATGAGTTAAAAATAATGAAGTAAAGGAAATAGATAAAAAACTCAACTCTTAAATTTCACACATCCAATGAATTTTAAAATATAATTTTATTTAAAATCAATTTTAATTTGACCAACTAATGTTATTTTAAATTCAACTAATTTTTTAATTTATTTTATCGATTCATTTAAGAAAATATTTAAACGACGTTGATTCAATACGTATAAATCTATGATTTATTTATTTATTTTCGTACTTTCCTCCGGGAAACAAAATTTTTACCTCGTCCACGAAACGATCGTGAAATTTTTTTTTCGACGCGTCGTGGATTCAAAAACGGATGGATGGATCCTCTTCGCGGACAGGGTGGTATCGCCGCCCTTTGATAATTATCCAATCCCTTGGATATATTGGCCGAGATTGTTATCGTTTCTCCTCGACCGCCCAAGAAAAATATTCCCACACGCCTTGCCTGCTTTTCTCATCTCTTCGAAATTTCTCTCCTTCCTTTCTTTTTTTCCTTCCTTTTCCCAAGTCAGCCAGAAGTGAAATTGGTATATCGATAGTGGAGAAAAGTGGATGGTCAGAATGGAAGAGCCAGGACCACGGTCGCTTTTCACGCTCGTTTATCGCCCCGTTCTCTCTGGGTCGCATTTTCGCACGCGATAAATTTCCCCAATTTACGGATGACCAAGGTCGGCCGTAAACAACGAGCGAAATGGGCGAACGAGAGGAGAGAAATTTCCAAGGGATACAGGCTTCTAATTCGATCGGAATGGAATTGATCGAGCAAGTGAGCGGGTGTTTCATTTAAAATGGATAAAGTTGACACGAGACGACACGATCTTTCTTTCAATGGAACTCTCGATCGATTGAATCGACACCTATAAATCGTGCCGCGTCATAATCGATCGTTATTTCGAAACAAACGCCTCGTCTTACCGCTAATTAATTAATTGAAAATTGCGCGGCCTATAAATCTTAGCCCGTAAAATTTGCCCGATAAATTTCGCGAATTGTAGCGAGTACAAAATTCAATCGAGATTAATTACCCTCTACTTTTCCATTGGCGATAATTTCGAAACGCGAAGCTCGCTCCATCAATTAATCACGAATCGAAGTATATAGCTCGTCCTAGCTCAACGATACTCGACGATTTACCAGCGGGATCGAGATTCGTTTTTTTTCTTCTTCCTCTTCTTCAAAACATTCTTACGGGCGGTCCGTTGGATTTCGTTCTCCTCTCCTTTTAATGCCCTGTTTATTAACGGTGATTCAGCTCAAGGGATTCGAGAAGACGGCGTTTAACGAACGGCTGATCCGTGGAGGCAGGCCGATTTTATGGGAAATCGAGGGGCGATTAAATCGGTTTTGCCACCGAGTCGGCCGTTTCGCACCGTGCAATTTTATCGTAAATAAACGTTGCTCGCGGGAGAGGGAGAGAGTCGGTGTAACGACGGATTACAATGTACGTTACGTTAATGAGACGAGGCGGGACCCTCGTCGCGGTTCGACCACGCGTTTCAATTTTTCGAAATTCGTCGGCCGAGATGCTCGTTAAGATGGATCTTCCTCCCAACTTTTTCTCCGCCTCTTAACTTCTTCGATAACGATAACGGTGTGTACATTTGTCTCGCGTTTGCGTTCCCGATTAAATATTCGTCACACAGGTTGATAACAATTTTATCCACGTACTTTTCGCGGACGAAAACGTTTAAATTGATCGAGTCAACCAACGATCGTTTCCGTTCCTGCGGACAAATAAATCGACGAGGAACGATCGTTTCGACGAGATAACGATAAGTCGTTTATTCTTCTGGCGGCATTTATTCGCATTTATCAGGCTCGCCAGATACCGAGCAATGCGTACGGGTTGAATCGGTGTATTCCTATCCAAAAGAGAGAAAGGAAGAAACAGGCTCGCGAAAGAAGAAGCAAGAGGGAAGGATGGTTGTGAGAAGGACACGTTTTGGTTTCAGGACACGACGATGGACTGCGAGGAGGAGGGCGCAGCAGGGTTGGACGAGCTGGTCGATCTCGCGACCGACGTCGCGGATTCATCCCCGACAATTCGAGGTAATTAAACTTTCATTCTTCCCCTACCCTCCCCCTCTTTCATCCCCATGGATGGGATCAGACGAGGCCAGCATGTTCTCGTTTAAACGGGGGAAAAGGGGGAGGGCCTTTCCGGGGGAAGGTCGCGATCGAGCACCACCACCACCTCCAAACTCGAAACAACTCCCCCGGATTCGAGGAACGAATCGGGTGGTAATAACAATCGGGTTAATTAAAACGAGGCCCGAAGGGGACGAGACGAGAATCTCTTCGAGCGAATTATTTTTTTCCTCCACTCCCCAGGAGGAAGAGGAGGGGGATAGAATAATCACGACGCAAGTTCCTCCCCTCCCGATATGATGATATAACATCGCATTATATATCCGTTGGGGAGGGGATGATATTCATAAAGCGCGCAAACAAGTTTCTTGCAATTCAAATTGCTCCTTGGAATATCCTCGTTCCCGTTTCTATTCCTAACTACCCCCTTGTTTTACACCACCACCACCACCACCACCACCCCTTTCCCTATCCCTCTGCGGTGGAAACCGGTGTGCATTCGCGCACTTTATTTGCTCGTTAATTAGATTGCCGGGGTGGAAGGGGTGGAAGAGAGAGAGAGAGAGGGAGGAGAGTAGGTGGGTCGGCCTGTGTAACGAGGCAGAATAACGGCGGGGGCGGTGGGCGCTCGAGGGCTCGAGGAAGAAGGGGTGGGTGGGCTCTCTCGAAAATTGTTAAGCTAAATAAACGTTCAGCTGCGGGGAAAATTGGCAGAAATGCAATTACTCCCCTCCCCGTACAAAGAGCGAATATTCCCCTCCTCCCCTAATATCCCCCCAGACAGAATAATTATTTACAGCCGCGAGAAAATCCCTCCTCTTTGTCGCGGCTTATTTCTAACTTTGTCGTTGCCTCCTCGGAGAGAAACCAGGTGGTGAGCGGTTTGTAAACGTATCCTTGTTTGAATTCGTTTCCTTTAAATGCCTTCTTCCCCTCCTCCTCCTCCCTATGTCGGAGAAACAACAGCGACAGTTATGAAATTACGTCCTCCTCGTTGATCGAGGATAAAAGACCAAGACGAATCAAATATTTTTCGAAGGATTCTCGAGATGAGAGAGAGAGAGAGAGGAGAATTCTCCAAATTAGAAACTACGCGGGATACCGGTTTTTCGCGTTCTATCGGGGGAGAGAGAGAGGAAAAAAGAGATGTTCAAAGGAAAAATCGTTGGAGAAAGAACAGAAGGGAGCGTGGAAAAAGCAATAACAAGGAGATTGCGAGAAGAGGAGGAGGAGGAGGGTTGCCTCCCCGTTCTCGTCTCGGTTGAACGGTCAAAGTCGGAGAAGAGTTGTGGAAAAAGGGGGGAGGACGGTCGTCCTGCAATTTCTTCGCACAACAGAGATTTTTCTCGCCCGATTGTTTCCAGGTATATCCCCATCCGTCCACACCTCCGTCCAATTATCGTCGTTGACTTTCCTTCGATTATCGACGAATTACGCCACTCCGCGATTAATTTACCTCGCCTCCCCCCTTCCCTGATGTTCGTCCGATAATCGGTCCTAATTACCCGCTCCTCCTCTGCTCCTCCCCCTCTCCTTCGACCGTTTTACCTTTCAGAACGATCGAGAGACCATGCTCGATTCCTTGGGCAGGCCGGCAACCCTTGGTCACGCGATCCATCGAAAACCACCACCATCGAGCGTTTCTTTTTCCCTCTTCTTCTCCCTGCTCGTTTTACATTCCTTCGAGTCGCTTCTTAATTGCTTTAATCCACGCATCGATCGCTCCTCTTCCATCGATAATTTGTAGGCCCCCATCGCGTAATCTCGATCTTACTCGTCCCCCTCCCTCCCTCCCTGCGTTTCTTTAATTGGCCGAAACGGTGATTACTTTTATCTGGAGATTGCTCTTGGACGATGCTGGGTGTCGGTCGTTTTATCGTCGAAGGAGAAAAAAAAACGTTTGCAATTTATCGCGAAGCCATGGCAATCTCGCGAAGAGGAAACGGAGATCTAGAGAGACGTATATAAGACGATCGTTACGCGTAATAAGTAAGCAAGTTTTGCAACGATCGAATTTATTCGAAATTTCGACTCGAGACTCGTTGCCGAACGAACTTTATTCTCGCTTCGAAGTAGCTTGAACGTCGACCCTTTGTCGAAGGAACGGAGGGAGAGAGAGAGGAGGGGGAGGGGGGGGATAATCGAGTTTCCCCGGGAATATGGGAAAATTTGTTGCTTTCCACGCGAGCTAAAAACATTTCTTCTCAACGGTGCACTTCACGTACGCTACCTGCTTCCGTGGCTGATGCGACGAAATCCCAGGAAATTTTTATTCCTCTCCTCCCCCTTCGATCTGCCTCCGAATTTCAACGATCCTTCTTCTCGATGGCTTTACCTGATTCTTCGGTAACCCGTCTTCAACGAAAGACTATCATAGTGATAACGATAAACAAGAATTCTTTTGGGGAAAAGTATTAATCTCGATCACTGGTTAAATCGATTAAATCAAGAAAGGATCTCCAACTTTTCCCCAAGGATTTTGTGTCTGCGAAATATAACGGTCGAAGTTGCGAGTAAAGTTGCCATAATTGCGTTAAACGAGGATCAACTGTACATAACAGCTATACGAGCATTTTAATAAGTAATTGCTTAAAGTAACTTTACTTTTAACTACTTTTTCAACTCGGGTTAATGGCCAATATCTGGTTTCCAAAGTCCATTCGTAAGATTCGTCCAAGTATTTCGTTTAATGATTAATCGTCGAAAAATAAGTCACTTTTTTGAAATACGAATTTTATATGCTGCCTGCCAATTTCTCGAGGGACGGATGAATGGTCGAACGATACGGAAAGAGGATCGAATTCACCATTATCTACAAAGTTCGTTTCGTTTCGTGGCCTTCCTCTTTCCGCAGCAGGAAAGAATAATCTCTCTTTCTCGACGGAACGCCGATAATCTATCGCCGAGCAACCGAGTTTTTACTCTGTTTTAGAGCAGGATTCGTTCCGATCATTTTCGTAATGTTCGATGGACGGACATTATTGTCGAGGAGGGGGGTGTCGTAAATTGACGGAAGACGTCCAAGGTTTATTCTTCCCGGGACACGATCACCCGTCTTCTCCTATTCTTCCAAAACGAGCAGAATCTTTTAAGTGGATTTTTATGAAACTTTTATCCGGCATATAGTTTGCTACTAGAAGAGATCCAGTCGTTTCTGTCCACATTTTTCTTTCTTAATTTCCCGCGATTTCGTCTCGAAGATTGTTGGCAAGTATGAGACATATCCTGTGGGACAGCGATTGGCAAAATTTAATAGTCGAAGTTACGAATAAAGTTACTTCAATTCGTTGTTCGAAACATAATAATAATCGTAGGTTGTACGAGAAACAGATCAATTACAATAGCTACGAATAAATTCAAATTCACTGATAAATAATCATTAATTACTAAAGCAACTTTATTCGATATTTTTAATTGCTTTTACAATTTTTGGATTAATGTTTTCTCGATTCTTGCCATTAATTTATTACTCGAAACAATAATAATCGTAGGTTGGCAAACGATCGCGATTGTACGAAAATCAATTAGCTACGAACAAATTCAAATTTATCGATAGACAATTACTAAAGTAACTTTATTCGAAATTCTTGTCTGGTTGCTTTTTCGAATTCCGCCGTGGGACGTAGGTTAGCCAAATACACCCTTCGTGGAGACCTTTAAATCGTTGACTAACCTAACCCAATCCTGGAGAGAGCATAGAAGACATTTAAATCTGGCTATCCCTGTGGGAACGTCCGGCGTCCACGTCCCGGGGGGGGGTTGTCCTCCGGAGGGAAAAAACAATGAGCTCGTTTGTGCGCGACTGGTCCAGACGTTCCCTTCCGATGGGATAAAAAGAGAGGGGAACGAGAAGAAGAAGAAAGAGAGAAAAAAGAGGAGACGACGCACGTTCAAAAAAAGGAGAGGAAAAAAGGGAGCGCGATCTACACGGAGAAAAAATCGTGAGATGGACGTGATCCGGTTTCCTGCCGACTCCTATAAATTATAATTCCTTTTCAATTTATGCGAGACGAGATTTATTAAACTCGTTCCTCGCTCTGTGGTAACTTTTATGGGGAGAAATAGACGGAAGATTTATCTTCCATCGATCTTCCCTCCCTCAGATTTCACCGCTTCTTTTCCGCTCAGGATGCTATCCGTCCAATCGCGATTTCCTCAAAATCGGCGAAAACACGACACCTTTAATTACGCGCAAATTCTGTTTTCCAGACACATTGTCGTTATACATAATTCATAACGGAACACCAGACTTTCCAGAGAAACTAATAGTTGCCCAAACTTGTTTAATCTCCTTTAATCTCCAACCGTATTACACACCTTCCTTCCGCATCTTCCTTCTTCTTAATTTCCCCATTATCCCCGCTATACGTTTCCAACTATACCCCGGCTATATTTCCTTCAAATTACGCGTATATATATATCCTCTCCCTCCGTAATTCGAACGTAAATCGTTCGAGAGAAGAAAAACCTCTGCTCCCTTTTAACTTGGAACGATATCGTATCCAACGACGTTAAAAAAACTCCTCCTCCCCCCATCCGTCCAAAGTAGTTACGATCCAATCTCGATTTGATCGTTTAATAATCGAAGACCGGGGTCCCGTCTCCGCGTGGTTCCCACCGGAAACAGGACGAAGTGACCCCCTACAACCACCACCACTACCAGTCAGGGTTTCTCGAGAAAAGGTGTGTGGAGAAAAGGAGGGTGCAGCAGGCACACGAGGTGAGAGAGGTGGTGGGTTAGGAGAGAGAGAGAGAGGAGGATCGTGCGAAATTCGCAGGAAGAAGGAAGGACGGAAAGCGCGGAGGTAGCGACAGGTAGTTCCCATGGGAGGGTGATGGCGCAGGATTCCCACAGGCGAAACCTGGATTCCAGGCGAATTCCGGTCGCCGATTACCTCCTCGCCGATCGTTCCCCCCTTTCGTGTCCGCTCGGTTTTTTTCTTTTTATCCCGAAAGATATTCGTTCGTTCGACGAAATTCAACTCCGTGTTTTCCATCCACTTTTATCGTAATACCGTCGTCCTTTTCTTTCTCGAGTTTTATAACTCGAAATATCCCCCCGCGCAAGAGAACGGAGAAAACAAGAGTCGTTTCGAGGAGTGGGAGCTCGATTTTCGGGGAAGAAAGAGGCTCGGGTACAGCATGCACGCACATACACGCACACACGAAATCCATTGCACCGTCTGCGCAGATGCCGCGGAGAGGTTACTGACGTTGTTGGGCGTGGACGAGGAGGAGAACGAGGAGAACCTGGTGTCGTCCTCCTCCTCCTCGGAGGACGAGGGCGTGGAGCTGGACGAGGAGCTCGAGGACGAGGACGGAAGCAGGGAGGACAGCAGGCTGTTGCACCAGCTGGCCGCCTCGTTGGCCAACGAGTTGAAGCAATCCCGTCGGAGGCAGAGCTGCACGACGGGTCTCGAACCGCATCGGATGGAGGTGATAGTAGTAGGGACGAATTACCCGGATCACAGTTGCCTTCAGGATCAGAGCTTCAAGGGGGGGACGAGTAATTGGCGCGAGGTCGCTGCCACCACGAACAAATGCAAGCGACGGGGCGTCCTCGAGTCACGGCGACGTCTCGAGGGCCGTTCGACGACCGCGACGACGACCACGGGCCAGGAGGCGGTGGTCCCGTCGTCTTGGAACGCCGGCTGGGATGCATGCGCCGCGGAAGCCCTGAGATATCTGGTCGAGGACGAAGGACTGCCGCCTCATCATCCCACGGTCTTGGCCATGAAGGACCATCTGGAGGTGCAGAGGGAACGAGCCTTCGTTCGATACGCCACGTAAACCGCTCGCTCTGGATTTTTATCCCGAGACGAGGTACCTTTTTTTTATTTTCCCCTCCCCTCTCTTCTTCTTTTTTTGCTCTTCTTCCTCCTCCTCCTCCTCCTCCTCTTGCTTCCATCGATGGAGGAACTCTCTCTGCTTCCTCCAGCGACGGAGGAGATGGATGGTTGGAAAGGAGAGAGATGGACGCGAGAGGGCGCTACCCTTTGAATCAAAAAGGGGAGGTTATTTTACGAGAAAGAAAACAATTGTTACGATACTCTTTTTTTTTTTCTTCTTCTTCTTTTTTAAGAAAAGAAAAAGGTGAAACGGCTTCGTTCGACCTCTGCTCCTCTCCGTGCGTTCTCGAAACCCAGCACGCGTCCTAGATTCTTCGCTTTTCGACCATCTCGGACCGGCCGGTGATCGTCCACGGCTTGGCGGTCTTGCTCCAGCGCGGCTATCTGTCGCGATGAAAAAAGAAAAGGAAAATATAAAGAGAGGAGGCGAAGAAGCAGCTCTTTCCATTCCGGATTAAAATGCATTCATGCCGTGTGTTTGTCAAGCAAACGACGCTCTTTCACGAGAGAGAGAGAGAGAGAGAGAGAGATAGGGGGACACTCGTCGAGCGGATTCCAAAACTTCCTCGTAGTTGCGTAGTTCTCTTAGCAGAGGAGTGGCCGGTTCGTTCCGGCCAACGAGTTTTTCTCGCCGAGGGAAAATTACCGCGTGAGAATCAAAAGTCTCCCCTTCTTCGATCCTCTCTCGCGTTATTCTCCCTTTTCTTTTTCTCTCCCCACGCGTTAGAGAAAGTACGTAATTAAAAAAAAAAAAAATAGAAATTCTAAAGGTTCGAAAAAAAATTTTTAAATTAGAGGTTAAGAGTGCACTTGAAAGAAGCATTGTATTCAACGAGTGTTGAGTAAGCGTTCGAAGAGTCGAGCATTTCAAATCGATCCCATTTTTTTTTTTCTCGAAGAAAAAAGAAAAGAAAAGAAAAGACGATCAATAAAATGGATCCGCGACTCTTCTTCAGGTTCCTATCCATCGATGGATGATAGTCTACGGCAGTAGAGGGAGGATGAACTTAACATCCAATGGCGCGTCACGTTGTAACGTCGTCATTTCGAATCAAATTGGTTAATTCTTTTTTTATATTCCTTCGTTCGTACGACGAGTCGCTTTTTTTTCTTTCTTTCCTTAATCATTTTTCTCCTCCCTTCTTTTCCTCTCTCGTATCTCGTTTTTAGCACCATTTAGCGTTCGTTTTTTTTTTTTTTGTTTTGTTTTCCCCATATACTCGTCATTAGTATTTATAATCGTTTATAATCGTTTTTTTTTTCCCCCTTCTTTTTATAATATTCGTTTATTTATTGTATTATCGTCGCGTTATTTATTAGGCTTAAGAAAACAATTCCCCTCTTCTCGCAAACGTCTTTCGATCCATTGGACGTTAGATTCGACTCCGCGAGAAACGAATGTCAATAAACTATGTCAATACGAGGGGGGGGAGAAGGTTCATACGCTGGATCGATATGAACGAGAACAACGAGGGAGAACAAGGGGATTGTGAACCCCCGTTCACTCCCCGTTACAGAATTTCTTAATCGATTGTCGAGACGTTTTTTCAAAAACACACACACACACACACACACACACACACACAAGCGAGAGAAACCTGTTAAGATTATTTTATCGCGCATCACTTTCGCCTGTTCGATCCTCCTCGCGCGGGAAAATCCTCGCGTTTTGGAGGATCGAAGAGCGAGAAGAGACGTCGGTTTTGAATCAAAAAAAAAAAAAATGAAAAAAGAAAAAAGAAAAACTAAATATTCCTAGGGCAAACTCCTTAATAGATTATTTTATCGCGCGATAAATCCGAATCGTTCGAACGTTGCATCGCATCTCGTCCCTGTTATTATTAATCCTCTCGCAATTTCTCACGTTTACCAAGTGCCTCCGTTTCAATCTTATCCTTAATAACTACGAAGATCCTCGCTACCTTTTAAATAGAGAGAGAAAGAGAGAGAGAGAGAGAGAGAGAGAGAAAACGTCAAAAAAAAAAAAGAAACGTCTACTTCGGAGAAAGAGAAACGCGATTGTGCGGTGCAACGTTCGAAGAGAATTCGAAGAGGAAGAAGATGGTATACGATGATAAATTTGGATCGAGATGTCGTCGATGGATTTAAACGCTGGATTACAAATATATCGATTATATCTAAATCACGATCCGCCGACACGATAATAAATCGAGAAGGCGCGAATCGTTCGTGGTATACGGAGTCTTACGCGTCGATGATTCAACGCCGACATTTTCGGATCGATCAAAAACGGGATTATTATGTAGAGCGGCGAGTGATTTTGGATCGACGATCGATACCCTCGATCGAGAGTCACCCGCACTCGAGACACAATTCCTCCCCCACGATTCGTCTCGGGGATCGTCATCAGCCTCTTGTACATATGTATGATACGTATCGTTTTAACTTATACACGACTACTTGTTACTTTTACAATAAATCATTGTAGATAATCATCATTGACCAGTAAATAAACTAAGAGCTAAGTTAATCGAGCCTCTCTTTCTTCTTCTTCTCGCCCCCTCCAGTTCCAGCAGAGATCGCGCCTGTTCTAGGGAGACAATTTTCCAGATCCCCGCAGCTTCGTCCCCGAGCTTGGCTGCCTCGCATCGAAACCGGAAGAGAAGGATCTCGGAGAGGAGAATCGAGGGAGAAGGACAGTGGAGGAAGGGTCTGGCACGCGACCAGGCCGAGAAGGATCCCGGGTGGGCAGCTTGCCTCGATGGGGATCTCTACGCCAATGGGGCATCTGGTGTCGGCTCGTAGCACATGCCATGCATCTGCTGCTCCGTCGAGGTACTTTTGTTGTCTTCGACGTTCGCTCGAAAATAAGTAGTCGAGGCTGCTGTTACCAAGCTGAATCTATGCTTATTTAACCGCTTCTCCTCGTTTCAAGGATTCGGATATCAGCGGAAGGTAATTGGATTCGAGAACTCTCGATTTTTAAATCTTTAAATCTCACCGATCCTCTAAGAGTTTCATCCTTTTAGAAAGAAGGAAGGGAAGATAAATTTTCCTATCTCCAAAATTCGCAAGGGAATCGAACCGACTTTCGAAATCCGCCAAACTTCGTCTCTATCTCCACCCCGATAACCCGTCCACTTTCCAACTGATCTGCCTGTTCAAGATTCACCCGTTCTCCACACAAGTTTCTCACCGTTTAATTTCGTCGAAATTTCTCTCGCTCTAAACTCCAATCACCTTCCGGAAACGTGCTGCCGGGTGTTCGAAAGCCTTTTTCTTCTTCTTCTTCTTCCGGACGAAATCGTCTCGATTTTTTGGACCCGGCCGAGAGGGAGGGGAGAGGTGGATGGAAGGGGAGGGAACAGCTGTTGCTGGCCGAGCCGTCAGATGGTATCCCCGTCAGCTGCGGGGGTGAAAATACGAGAAAGGGTTGAGGAGATTCGTTTCCGCGGATTCGTGTCCACCGAGAATTCCTTGCACCGGGTCGATTGGAAAATATTGGGACAGGGAATATTCGTGGGATCCACTCTCTTCCTCGTCGTTTCTCACTTTCCATCTCTTTCTCTTTCTCTTTTCAGATATGGACGAATGGCAGATGCGGTGGCGGGTAAAGTTTAACGGTTGAACAAAGTTGTGTATCGATAATTTGTTATATCGAAACGTAATAAATAATCGCGATTAATTGCAGGTTGTCAAAACGATCGTGCGTTTATACGAAAACCGGATCGATTGTAATTATAGCTATAAGTAATCGTTCGAATAACTCGATTCGAAATTTTTAATTATTTCTTTCGATCTTGGGTTGAAAATGTCCAACTCTGTGGGACGTAGGCAGCGGTGGGGAAAATTTAATTTAAATTTCGAAGTTACAAATAAATTTATTTCGATTTAATTTAATGCTGGAAACGTAATAATAATAATCGCGAATAATTTTAAATTGTGAAACGTGATCGTGGATCGATTATAGATTCAAGCGTTTTAACGAGTAATTGGTCAAAGTAACTTTATTCGAAATTTTCAAAATTTTTCGATCTTAATGCTAAGGTTAATATCGAAAATTTAACAGTTCAAGTTACGAATAAACGTTACTTTAAATCAATGTTCGAAACATAATAATAATAAAATCGCGAATAATTGTAGGTTATCAAACGTGGCTATTCCGAAAAAACGGATTATATAACGTTTTAACAAGTAAGTAATTGGTCAAAGTTTATTCGAAATTTTTAACCAAGTTACTTTTTCAATCTTGGATCAATCGTCAACTCTATGGGAGCGTTGAGACAAAATTCAATTCGAATTATAATTAAGATTTATAATTCCATTTTTTAAATTTCCAAGTAAATCATCGAAATAATTTTCGGAAGCATTTCAACGAGTTAACTGCTCGAGATAACTTTATTCGAAATTTTTAACCGGTTACTTTCTCAAGCTTAGGTCAATGCCCAACTCTGCCTCTGAAAGTGTATGGAAAGTGTAGCGCAAGCACGAGAGAAAACGATAAAAGATTTCAGAAGGAAGGAAGGAAGGAATTTTTTTTCACGATGAAGTACTCACTCGAAGTCTTTTGTCTCTTTTAAGACGCGTCGTCGTTACTGAAACTGTCTACGGGAAATTACGGTTATTTATTCAGAAGGGAAGAAGACGACTGCTACAGGATCTCGAGGAGGAGAGAAAGGTATACGTAACTCGTTAGCCGAAAGATAAATCTTTATCCGTTTATTTGGGGAGGTAAGGAAGTTTGCTTTAAAGATCGAATCGCCGATCGTTTAATGCTACCCCTCCCCCCTGTAATGCGCTAATTAAACTCGGGATTAAACCGGTTGCCAACATTCTCGTCAAGATCGATTCGATTATAAAGGTTTATCGATATCGAGGGCCCGCCTTTATCCTTCGACGGGGGCAAACTGACGCCGTTAATTATTTCGACGTTTGGATAGATGAAATTTTGGATCGATATCTTCCCTTCTTTTTACTTCTCGAAAGGAGAGATCCTTTGTTCGGGATTTTCGACGTTCTCTTTCCTTCTTTCCAGAAGCACACCTTGGCCACAAAACGATCGAGAGGGGCCAAGGTGTTTTGCGTTCGGCACGAGCCAGACCCTGGATTCGAACATCACCGTTTCCTCCTCCTCCTCCTACTGGCAGATGTTCCTTCGTTTTCCAAAATCCTCCTTCTCCTCCTCTTTCCCCATCCTCATCCTTTTCCACCACGGTTTCCATTACGTTTTCCACGAGTTTTGATCGAGCCGGTAACGAATAATCGGTGGAAACAATTGCGAAACACGCAAAGGTGGGCCAAGCCTCGCGGCACGGCCGGCAGATGTATACTTCCGGCAGCTGTGAGCGCCCTTACGGCCTGCACGCGCCGATTCCTATTAAAGAATAGGCGCAGCTGGGGGATCGATCGTGTTGTTTCGTCGCTCAAATCAATTCTCGATCGATGGATATCGGATTTATATCGGGAGCGACGATGAAATGAAGAAATCGTGGATTCGATTCTTAACGAAGCGGTTTCGTCGAATTCGTTTGAATTAAACCTCGAGATAAAATAACTCGAGGTTGGAAAAAGATGGTGGAGCGTTCCTCGCGATAATTCATTTGCCTGCTCTTTTATCGCGCCAATGGCAACTTCTTCCTCTTTTTTTAATATATATTGCACACGCTGGAACCATCTGTCGTTGTACGAGCCCGAAACTTTTCACTTTCGTGGCGAGGGACTTTTATCGTATCGCAACTTTTCCTCTCTCCTTTCCCGAGTAGGAAAATAGGTTTTGGGTTCAACATCCGCGAGGATAAATCCGCCCAAATTTTCACAAACTTTCACTCCTGTTCCAAAATGGGAAAATGGGAGAAAGATCCATCGGGACGAGATAAATAATAAATTTTCCCAACAAAATTTAAGTTAATGGATCGAAAATGGTGATCCGGGCGCCGTGATCGTCTCTTCCCGAACTCTGTCTTCTATTGGCGTGACTCGAGCGATTCTCGGACGCGGCAATTCAGCCAATTTACCGACCATTCCCCAACCGAACGAGGCTGCCAGAGGGGAGGTCCCCGTTGTCCCCGTATCTTGGACAACGATCGAGCAACGAATCGAATCGATCCTACAACATTCTTTCCCCTCTCTTCTTCCAGGAAAAAGATCAAATTTTGAATTTTATTCTCGTACGAGAATTTGGAAGGAAAAAATGTCGCGTGGCACCGCGTATCCCTAGTCTCGTCCCTGGCTTCGAACCGAGACGGCAATTAACGTCGATTTGTCGATAACTGTCGATTGCATAACGTATACTATACAGGCGTAGCAGCGACGCAGGTTCACAGATCAAAGGTTTCGATATTGCAGCTGTACACAGCCGTTAGCCATAGCTTAGCTCGTTCATAGTTTACCTCAACTGCTGCTGCGCATTGTTGCGTAACAGGCGAGCGCGTCCATCCATTTTTAAACGGAGGAATTAGCATCGATCGAAAATGGATGGAGGGGAGAGAGAGAGGAGGGGACGTAGTAATATTCGCCGAGGGATTCGGCAAACTTTGACCGAGCGCGTGTCTCTTGATCCCGTCCGATTCCAAGGTAAATTTACCCCGAATTCGAGACACGTATCGGGAATCAATTATCGGCCGAGTAGCAAAACGATCAAACGATCTGCACAAATTCTAACCCTCTCGAAATTATTTATACCCTCTTATTACGAACTGCTTCGTAATGCTCGATGATAAACAACCAAGAAAAAAAAATAATATATATATATATATAGAGGCGATTCTCGACAACGAGAGACAATTTTTAATAAGCGGAAGAGGGACTGGGCGGAAATCTCGAGAAATCGTAGGTGAGCGCGAACGAAGGGTGAAAAGGGAAGAGGCGCCCCCTCCCCCCGTCAGCGCCCTCCGCCAACTTTTCCCCCCCATATGGCCGGCACATGTGAGCTCCCCACGAGGAGAGGAGGGAGGCCGAGTAATCGGGAAACCAGCTGATGGCCGCCGTTTGTGTTTCGCCTTCTTCAGTTACCGTTCGGCCGTGGTGGTAGTGGTGGTGGTGGTGGTGGCGGTGGTGGCGGTGGTGTTGCTGCTGCGCTCCGCCGAATACGTCGTCGCTCTCCAATCGTCTCCATTTCGATTTCCACCGTGATTCAGAGATCCCGACCTTAACCCCTTCTTCTTCACGAGCAAACGGAACAGAGATCGAGGTAAGCAGATTCCCTCCAACGTAATTTTCATTCCCTTCCTCCTTTATTCGATGCGATTTTTTCAAAGAATCTTTGAAATTTCTAATAAGACCGATCATCGTTCATTCGACTATTGCTCCAAAACAGTGCGATGCGTCGTAATTTTCATTCCCTTCTATTCGCGATTTTTTAAAGAATCTTTGAAATTTGTAATAAGACCGATGATCGTTCATTCGTCGTCATATTGTCTTAAAACAGTGCGTCGTTTGGAATTAAATTCTCCCGAATATTCGAACGAAACGTACTTCGCCCCGCGTACGAAGCGGTTGGGAATCTTCCATCGGCGATTCGACGTCGTTTAATTGGCCAGCTACGAGCAGTTTTCGAATGGCGCGATTGCCGCCCCGTGCATTAAAACTTGTTAATTGGCGATCGAAAGTTCGGAAGGAAATTTTCGAAGGCTTCCTCGAAGGAAATCGAGTGAAATTCCGTTACGGGATCGGGAATATCGGGATGGAGATAAAATGTTCGGGGAAAGGAAGGAAGGAAACTATTTTAATTCGTTCGCATGCTGGTCAACGAGATTTCCGATATTCCTTGGGAATAACTTCGAGCGAGTTTCCCAACTTTAAACCCGCGTTTGTTCTTTCGCCAATTTTCGAACAAGATAAATGTTTATCGTCGCCCGGAACGGAGAGGAGGGGCGGAAAAAGTTTAAGTACCTGCCAGTACAGTCTTTCGCAACTTTCCCCGTGCTTAAAAACTTAAAAACTACCGGCCCAAGAACTGGTAAATAGAAGAGAAGGATGCTGGCTCAACTTCTTTCTTCCTTCCTCCTTCCCGTAAAAGTAGCAATTGCTCGTCGCAATTATCGTCCTCCCATCTTACGGGATAGAAACGGGATATTATTCCTCCCGAATTGAATTAAATCGGACGAGATACGTTCCTCTATTCATCCTTCCCATCCCTTCGATCCAACGAAATTTCGACAAGGAACTCGAAAAACTTCGAAAGCACTCATCGTGCTTTTATCGATCGAGACACAGCTTTTTCCAAAAACTGTTCCAACCAATTTTTCCACGCGATCGAATCGAGCTTTGAGAGAGAGAGAGAGAGAGAGATAAAAGAACGGAACTCGTCGTCCCAAAAGTGTAACGCGTATTTTGGCCGTTGAACCTCGCCTCCGGGTTGGGGTTGAATCTGGCGATGGGGGATGGGAATCCTTAGTAACAGTGTAATGCCGAGTATTGATTTCGAGGGGCCGGCTTTAGGCTTGCGTTACACGTGTATACACGGCGTCCTACAAACATCGGTCAACCCGAGCAAAACGGGACGAGAGAGAGAGAGAGAGAGATCGAGGAACGCGATTAAACACGACCCGCTTTTCCACCGTGTCGAGCAAATTACAGGAACAGGGAGAGGAAAATTGGTATATAATCGGGTCCAACGATCGGGATAATAGCTGAGAATTTGTCCAAGAGAGGTTTATTATTAATCGCGCGTTTCCCTCCCAATTGGATCTCGTCTCGTGGAAAATTGATAATTGCTTATATTCTTGAATTGGGTATTTCGAGCGAAGGGGAGGGAGGGAGGGATAACGAGGAGGAGACGGCAGATTTTCCTCTATTGGATGGATAAAAGCGAATCTCGATCGGCGGATGGCGTAAAAAGGACGGCCTGCCGATTTCCCTTTCTCACGGTGGGACAATGTCTGGCAAGCTTAAGAGCTTGCACAATTTAGCGAATGAAAGCGACCAGCTTTTAAAACGGTTTGACAAAGAGAGAGAAGGAAAGAGGAGCTCTCTCAGAGATGAAACTTTAAACGAGGGCAAAAGATGAACGAGGCGTATGTATCCACTTTTAGCAGAGCCTCTCGAAACGAAGTAATCGCGACATATACTTTTCCATCGACTTCTATTTTCTTAAAAAAAAAAAACTGGCCGCCTCTTCAAAAAATACAACAACAAATGAGCGGTCTTCTTCTTTTTTAAAAAATTAAAAATTTCGTTTTCCAGATGATACCCGACTCGGAAAGCGTTTGTCAAACATCCGAGGCTGCGGTGAGAAGCACGGACGTGTATCGCAAGATTAAAAACGTGGCGGAAGGGGAAGCGGCCTCGGTCACCGCTTGGAAGCGATATCAGCAACTGGTGGCGATCGTCGAGTCAAGGGGAGGAAAGTTCAACCGGAAGTCGATGATCGAGGCGATCTTTCGCGGCAACGATCTCGTCTACGCGAGCCATTGATCTATCGATCTCGTTCCAAGAACAAGTTGCAATTTCTTTACCAAAGCGTTATTTCTATCTATCTATCTATCTATATATATATATATACATGTAACAATAGCGTAACGATTCTCATTGGTTAAACGCGATCGACGATTCGAGAGAAAATGACAATAGAGTCGTCCCTCTGTTGCAAAATGTGACGGAATATTTCGCTCGATTAATTGACGCGTTGTGTAGTCCAATAGTCGATCTCGATATTATAATTCAACTTTTTCACCTCGATTCGTTGCGGATCATAGTTTGCATGGTCGGCGAGTATATAATTAGAATAACGATGCCAAACCAAGTGTATTGCTAGTCAACGTAATAAAGTGTAGATCGATAGGATAATTAAGCGGCGATTAGAGCGCTTGCACTGTGTAATCTCTGTGTAACAAATTTGTTACACAGTTAATGAAGCAAAAAAAAAAAAAGGATATATCTTCGATATACTCTTCTACGACGCGCGAAGAACGTCGTTAATCGCAATCGGCTGTTAAGCTGCGAGAAGAGATTTCACGATTTCTTGAAAGAGCAAGATTTCATCGTAGATTTTTCTTTTTTTTCCGTAAGAGCTCTATAAGCTGTAACCCCTTTTCTCTTCCTCTTTCTCGTAATTGTATCGTAGAAATAAATCTTTTTCTTTATATATATATGTATATGTAAAAAAAAAAAAAAAGAAAAGAAAAAGAAAAAGTTCTAGTCTAGCGCGTAAGAATTGTAAAAAAAAATCTTCCATTTCATATTTTTCGCGCAGCAGGGAATGAAAGATACACCAGCGAGCACAAATCTCTGCCACATACGCATATATATTGTATATATATTTAACGAATTAAATAGTACCGTACACACACGCATAAATGTACAAGATATATACAATACGATCTCCATCCACGCGCGATAATCGTAGACGCGATCGAATTTTGTCAAATTTCGTTTCGTCGCGGAATTTTACGATCGATGCGACCATATATTTTTAGTGTATATTTTACGCTGTTCGCATCTTCTTCATCTAGCGTAGTAGAATCCTGCGTACGTAAAAAAAAAAAAAANAAAAAATTGGCCTCGTCGCAATTTTCGATTCCAGACCCAGCGAGTCGTTACGTCGATCGATCGTATTATCGATTTATTACGAACGTGCGATGCGATGACGCGATATTATCGTGCTGTTATAAATAAACCGGTTTTTTTTTCGGATTTTCTTTCCCATCCATTCTCCCGCAACGTGTTTCTTCCTTGTTTTTTTTTTTTTTTTTTAACGAATCTTTAAATGTAAATGTCGTTCGTTTGTGCAAGGATTCTTCGAGAGACGATCTAAAAAAGATTTTTTTTCGTGTCTCGATTCGAAGCTCGAAAAAATGGAACTCGCTATCGAACGAGAGAAGTCGAGGAATCGAATTAATTAACAACTTCTTTGACTTATTGCATTCCTCGCGAACTTTCCAATTCGACTACTTCCGTGTGTAGCTGTTATATAATTTTCTAGATCTTAGGTTGTGCTCAGGAACTGCAGGAGATTACCTCGCGATTTCTCCCCGAGGCTTCTCGATTTTTGCTTTCTTTCAAACGAAGAAACTTCTTTTCAGCCTTAACGATCCGCTTGTGTATATAGTATATAAAAAGAAAGAAAGAAAGAAAGAAAGAAAAAACTCTGTGTGCATCTCGTCAAATCAATTCGGTAAATCCGTACAATCCAACTTCTTCTTATTTTTCTGAAGAAGAGAAAAGAAAAAAGACGAATTTCATTCGAAAGAACACTTTGTACACAGTCTTTCCATCCGCTCTTGTATCAAATTTCTATGCGTCGTTTCAGAAATGTACTTTTTTTTCTTTTTTTTTTTTTTTTTCTTCTATACAAAATATATCTCTAGCTTCTTAAAGGAAAAATATCCGCTTATATTACAGTGAACACTTTGTACGATCCTTTTTTTCCCCCCTCCAATTCCAATTCTCTTCTTTCCTTCCGAAAAAATTTCTCCAATCCCCCTCGCGATCTTTCCCCGAATGGCGATCGCCGTTTCCTTTCCCGAAGGAAGAAGAAAAATTCTGTGAAAAATTCTATCCATCTATATAAATTCCGTGACGAAGATCTTCTTAAAATCCGGCACGGATCCGCCAATATCGTGCCTGCATATGTCCCCGTTGTCCATATAACTCACGTCCGAATTCCTCAGGATACTCTTCAAGCTCTCGATCGAGAGATTCGGCCGGGATTTCCGATCCACGGTCAACTTGTCCAGATCGTTCATCGAGTAACCGTTCCCTATTCTCGCCCTCTTCAAGTGGTACGACTGTATGCTCGGCTTCGTGTCCGCCGGATCGTTCCTCCTCCCCTCCGCCTCGCTCTCGATGATCCTCGGCGTGAAAGATCGCATGTTGACCTTTACCTCGCCGCTTCTCTTCGAGGGCAGCAACTCCACCTGCAAAACCACCACGTTCTCACGATTCTCCGTTACGCAATCGACGACGAAAGGCCACGACTCGACTATATATATATATCCAACTTATATTTCGCGTCTCCATCGATCCGAGTATTTGTGTCCTTGTGGCCGATTTCGAAACGCGCGTCGTTTTTTCACAAAGAAGGGGCAAAAAAGTTTTGCAGAAAGAGGAAGGAAATTAATTGAACGAGGTGCCGAGAGAGAAAAATGTTACCTTAGTTCCCTTACGTTGAAAATATTCGAAATCATCATTGGCCACGGTGGTGACGGAACAGCAGCTCCTGCTGCGACTCCTGCACGAGCTCATCGTGTCGAAATCCCCGTTCTCGAGATCGCAGCTCTCGTCGTCCGAGGTCTCGTATCCGTCTCCCTCCTCCTGCTCTTCCTCCTCCTTTCGCACCTTCTCCTGCTCCTTCCTACCAATCTGAACCTCCTGCCTATTCGAGTCGTACGTTCTCGAGTCGAGAATCGGCCGATGATATATCCTGGGATATTTTTCGGAAAAGAGAGAGAGAGAGAGAGAGAAAATGAGATTTCTATACTTTTTTGTTGCGTATTTATATTTCTTTTTAATTTCGATTTAAACCTTTCGCTACTACGGCCGACTATAGTCGCTCTGCGCAAGATACCAGTGAGATGACTACAAGTAACTATAACATAAAATGTCATGGAGATACTATAGGTGATTATAAGATACCACTGAGGTACTACTGTTATAGTCGCATAAGATGAGTACAGGCGACTATAGTCGTTCTGCACGAGATGCCACTGAGTTGCTACGGCCGACTATAACATAAAATGTCATTGAGGTACTACGTACGATTGTTATAATCGCTCTGCATAAGATGCCAGTGAGATACTATGGGCGATTATGTTCTGCATAAGATGCTACTGACCGACTATAACATAAAATGTTATCACGGGTGACTATAAGATAAGATGTCATTGAGGTACTACATGCGATTGTTATAGTCGTTCTGCATAAGATGTTATTGAGATACTACGAGCGACTATAACATAAGATGCCAGAGATATTATGGGTGACTATAACATAAGATGCCACTTAAGTATATATTATAGTCGCTCTGCATAAAGTATCGTACGATATGACGAGCGATCGGATTTATCGGAGTGTCTTTCTCTGGGAACGTAGCATCGATATTTTTGTCGTCAATTTTTCTTTTAATAAACACCGTCGAAGCAACTCGAATTGTTGCGGCGGACGATCATTCTCCTCGTTCAGCGGCGGAGAAGTGGCGAAAGGTTTAATCAAGAATCGAGATGGCGAAAATCTCACGATTGGCATCTAGCGTGATCGAAGCTCTGATTCCTACGAAGAGCGATCCTAGGGCAACGTGATTGCTGCTGCTGCTCCTCCTCCTCCTTCTCCTCCTCGAGATTCTCATCCGATCCGAGGATCAAATGCTCCAAACCGAGCACGCTCCTCGCGTGCCTCCTCGAGGGCTCTTCCCTGATCTCGTCCAGACTCTTGGCGAACTTTCGTTTCGCTCCGTTTGGATCGTCCAGTTGGACCAGATTCTCCATGTTCTGGCCGAACACGTCCGTGCTGCCGATCTTTCGGCGAGCGCCGGCCACCAGCTGTTGGAACGAGCTCTCGCTCGGCCTTGGACCAACGTTCGATCGCTCGACGACGGTGGTGCTCTTCCTCGGTGCTGCCCCCTCGACGACGGTGCCGCCCCCCGCCTCTTGCCGCGGCTCCAAGCTCGAACAGCCGAACGAGGAGAGTTCTGCGGGGAGTGAAGCGTAATTATTCTCCTCGTCCAGGGATCGTATTCTCGGATAATGTTGTTGTTGTTGTTGTTGTTGTTGTATACCGCTCTTCCCTGTAAAATCCATTCCCTTGATCGAGGCGTTGGATCGAGTATGGAAAGGAGAAGAAGGGATCTATTCGGCTCGATTTTCAAGGAAGGAGAGAAAAGCGTACAAATTAGTATCGACGGAGATCGTGCGACTATTCGTTGGGCCACTTTCCATCCAAACAGTGTCGTCGTGTCTTCGAGGAAATTCCTAACGCGCGTTAGGAAGCGGGTCGCGCGATCAAAAATTCAGAGCGCGCTCGAGTCGAAGAGAGACACGGTTGGCGGAGCCACTTGTCCGTCGTACAAAATAACCTCTTTAGAAATCTCCTCGTGGATAAGAAAGGTGTGGATCGTTCGAAACGTTCGACCTCGGCTCTCGAAACCTAGAATCTATCGCGATTTTATTCGCGACGAGGCAGATTTGTAATTAAATTGCGATCGTATCCGTCGGTGTTGAAAAGAGAAAAAGAGAAATGGAAGGCGAGAGGGAGGAGGAAGAATGGAAAGGAAGCGTATCGTGAAATTAACGCGTAGACAGAATATACTCGCCTCTGTTCTGGTGATTGTGCAACCGGCCGTAGAGGCTTCCGTTAGTCAAGGGGAACTTGAGTCCGTGGTTCAGGTTCAACTGCAGTTTGTACTCGGCCTCGTGCTCGAAGTGGCGAAACTTGCCGTCGATTCCGCCTGGAAGGGAAACGTCGAGCGGGGGAAAATTTTTTCGTGAAATCGTCTAGGAATCGGGCCGCGAAATTTCTTCTTTCGCAATCTTTCGTTGCGAAAATTCGCTCGCCTCGATTTATCGTACCGGAAGCCAGAAATGGCCAAGCCCCTCTCTCTCTCTCTCTCTCTCTCTCTTCTATAGTTGGTACGTACTTACGTTA